AAGTGAGCTGTAGTTCACGAAAGCTTATGCTCAAATAAATTTGTTAGTCTCTAAGGTGCCACAAGTACTCCTTTTCTTTTTGCGGCTACAGACTAACACGGCTGCTACTCTGAACTCTACATGGGTAATTTCGCAAGATAAGGGCCTGTATCACTACATATGGGCCCTCACAGAACTGGCCTTTTGGCTGTACAGAGCAGGATCCAGCAATCCCTCAGAGAGAGAAAGAAATAAGACCCACACTCCTTGTTATTCTATAACTGAGACCCTATGTAACTGGTAAAAGCAAGTTCTCATAATGTATTCTGAATATGCTAGTAGGACATGAAAATATCGTCTACGCCCTGCTTTGCTTTTATGCAGATTACGTGCTTGTGATACATCTACATCTTGAAATAGTTTTCCATACTGGAACGTTACAGTGTTCCCAAATTTATGTGCAATAGCAAGGCATTATCCTTTGTTAAATGTACAGATCTACAAGGCTACAGAAACATTAATACACAAATAGAATGTGTAACCTCATTGACAAAATGACAGGATACAGCTATTTTAGCCACCTCATCTAAAAAGCAACCTTGCATTTCTAGCTGTCATTGCAAACTTTTTATAAACCCGATTACTTATTAATGTCCATGCATAACAGTAAAGAAAGAGAAAGCTACAGTAGATTTACATTATAACAAGGTTTATAGAGGCATTGTAAGTCTCAGTGTATTGCAACAGAAGTCTGGATCTCTTCCAATTTAATTTTCTGAAGTTAGAGTTTGCAGCTGGGTCACTTCTGGTGTAATCTATGAAATGTATCTCCTCAGGCTGTGAATTGGAACAACAGCATCCCAGCTGTCATTGTAACCCATCATTTATAGCACTTGGGGTCTGAGGGCAAAACATCAGAATCACTTTATGTGGACACAACAACATAGCTAGCTTCATAAATTTTGTTGCAAGGAGCAATAATCAATACTTCATGTTTAATGACACAAAACTGAAATTAGTATAGATTTTATGTCTTCTACTCTTCCAAATTATACAAACATTACTCGCCTCTTTTGTAGTTGCCTTATTACAACTTCCATAAAGAATGTTCAATGATATTTAATTGAATGATTGAATGGTCAAAAATGTCACAACCAATTTTTTCAGTTTATCTTCACCCTGAGGTTAATATAAAATGATGTCAAACACCAAAATGATTTATGTAAGTAATGCAGGTTTTGTCACCCATGGCAATATATAAAGTCAATCACAAATTGTTTTCACATTCTAAATTACCTTGCGATGCTCTGGGATATACTGAAAACAAAATGACCAGTGGAGTGATTCAGGAAACTAAAAGGTTATCTTTTACGTTCAGTCGTACTTCAGAGACAGGCAATTTTGAGGGAGTTTCTAATTTATATCACATGAGAAAAAGATAATCTTGTAGGAGAGTAGAAATAGAAGGTAAGAATAAAACAGACGTTTTATGGTTGGGCCAGTTTAAATTGCTGGCTAAGTAGTAGGAAACGGTAAACTTTTCTAAACCTTGCACAGCAATTTAGCAGTTACTGTATGTCAACAATAGTGATTATTACAATTAGAGATCCAGAGGGGGAAAATTTGGGGCAAAAAACTTGCCATCTTAACAAATCTTCTGCAAAAGTATGTTTTATGCATAATAGTGCTTCCAAGGCCACCAGGAAATAAAAGTGTATATCAGCTACTGATTGATCTTGTTTCATGTTATACAGCACACTATCTAGGCACTCTTGTATAAGATTAAAAAGTGCCATCTAAAATTCCTCTGTTCCACAATATAGGCTTTATTTGAGAAGGCAGAGCATATGGATGGCTGAGCTGTTGTGTTGTTAAATATGGCAATGGTTTTGCTGCAAACCAAAATGTTTGTTTAATTTATCCTCAGATCAGCTAAGATACAGAAGGGGTCTATATAATGCAAATTTCCTCGTTTTTGTCTTTTTAATTACTTTAACCTTCCTGACCTTGAGAAAATCTGTGCTAGCAGGAGAGATAATTCACTTAAAATCCTTGCTTGACCCTCATTGGCTTCTTTTTTTAGTTTTTTTTTTTTTATTCTGAAATTAATGAGTTAAGAGATGACATGAAACCACATGTTGACTTCTTGAATAGCCTTCAAGTGCAGTACGTATATTGGATTATCAAGAGATTAATTCACAAAAACAAACTGCAAGACACATGAAGCTGCAGATGGAGTAGTTCTGCTGTTTTTGAATAGTCCATGTTTTTAATAACTTTATATTATGGGGGTAAAATACGTTACTTTATTTGTTTGTTTAATGACGAGCAGGTCAGTGAGGCTCCGGACACTGGAACATGCTTTCCCCGGAGTAGATCACAAACAGTGGTTGCATTTAGCTGTCTGGGAAGAAGGTCTCACCATGCAAAGGGGGCAATAGGCCACATCCATCTCCCCAAAGAGGGGTGTGCAAACAGTTGCATGAAGTACTCACCCCAGTGAAAGAATCAGAGAACCCACTGCAAGACGGACAAATGGGAGCCCCATGACATTAGTTGTATCCTCTAAGAAGTTCCCACTGATGACTTCTAATGGCTGGAACCATCACTCAGAAACATAAAAATTGCGTTGGGTGAAGCCCTTTCACCACAAGCAACAGAAGAGGCAAGCTCCTTCTACCACAAACAACTCCACACACTTTTCCCGTCCACCCCTCATTTATGACCAAAATTCCCCAGGAAAACGAAAGTAAAACTGACATTTTATTGTCCTTCAGATCTCTTGTTAAGACTCAGTTCTGCCACGAAGCCTACAGAAACCTGCTGGTTACTAATGGCAAGACTGGTAGTGAGCTATGTTTTGTGTACAAAGTTAGTCTATATGAAAACATGCTCCTACGGGTCTGTCTTAGTTTTCACACGTCCCTGTTTGTTTCATCTATCTGTAGCATCTTGTCATTATCCAAGATTGTAAACTCTTTCAGCAGGGACTCTCTTTGTACTACACACCTGTACAGTGCCTAGCATAATGAGCCGCTCCTCCACTCTGCCCCCTAAATCACTGATTGGGGCCTCTTGGTCTGTACTGTACTGTACTGCAAATACTCAATATCCATGCTGCACCCTAGAATTTCTATGCACTATTGGATGTAGATAGAGTTAATCTATCTCTATATGGAAGTTGACTAATAGTCATCTCTGTATCCCTTTCATTGTGAGAAAGCAGTGTTTGGTGTGTTAGGGAATCTTTTTGCAGTATGTTCTGAGATTTCATTCCCTGTCAGGGTGGAGTAAAGGAATATGGCTGTATTCCAGTCTAGACCCTAGAGGTGCTTTGGATTGCTTTTCTAGGGAACCTTGGTGACCAATAGTCCTGTCCTGCGCTGCCTTAAACCTTATTCAGCAGTTCATTGTTACTTAGATTTATGTTTCAAGCAAAACAAAACTGTTTTGAGTCATCTTTGTAAACCAATTTTCCCACCGGTTACTAATGGTTTTATTAAAAGCAAAGGAATTTTAAAAATGTAAGTGGACTTTTTCCTTTTGTCACACCTTTTGGACAATAAAAACCTGTCAACCAGGTTCAATTTCTGCTTCTCAAACTGTAGCTCAGTGCCGTGATTTAAGGGGTAGATTGAACTCCTATTGAATTCACTGGGAAAACCCCTATTAACTGGAATGGGAGATGGACTGGGCCATGTTTGGATTTAAACAATCCCTGACCTGTTTTTACTAAGAGAAATCTTTAAGGAATTTCCTCTATGAAAAACAGGGACTAATGCTGACGCCACGGTAAAGATGTTGGGCTTAAACTCCCAGCTAGTGATTCCCTTAATTATGAGATCTTAGCATTGTTCAATGGTAGAACAAAAGGAAATGGCTGAAAGTGAGAACTCTTGGCAGTTTCTTGTCCATACCTACTTTTTTCTTAATCAGAAAAGATAAGTACGCAACAATAGGAACATACCCTCAGACTGGTTTTTGCAGGTTCAGTACCTATTTTTCAGGGAAAGTCCTGGGCATGTTGAAGAATTTACTGGTTTCCTCTCAGTTGCCCTTAGGGGTTTGTTTTGGATTACAAAACATACTGTGCTGGTGTAGAAATTAAACCGTTTCATCCAGGCTGGGGGAAAATGCCTAACTCTAAATTAGATGCTCACGTAACAAGCCCAAAGTTTCCCAAATAATGGATTATGAAGGGAGCATTCAGTGTCATAGTAGTCTTTTATACGTACAGAATAAAAACACAACAAGTGAGGGAAGAGATGGCTTTTAAAAGAAAATGGGGGGGACCCCTCGAATTTGTGCAAGAAATATCTGCTAAAGCTTAAACTCTTTCAAAGCTGACTAAGATTCTCCAGTTTAGAGGGAGTTAAAGTGGATTTCTGAAAACCTGTTTCATTGAGGTGTGCGTGGGGAGGCTTGTTTTGTTTTGACATTACGTTGTGCACGCTTTGGGCATGTGTATTTATCAGAGCTGTTGATTCTGTGACCCTGGCCATTATAGTATGTGATACTTTCTGTAGCTAGCTGTTGGCTACTGTGAAGTATAGGCTAAGATAATATATGGGCGACTGCCTTTAGCTGTTGTGAATTCGGCCTTTGGAACACCTTGAGGCATACAATTCGTTGGAGGTGGCGGTTCTGTCTGTTTTGCTCACTTATTGAAGTACCTTTGGATGCATTTATAAATAGAAATTTGTGTGTTCTCGTGTGTGCAAAGCCGGGTGACCTTGGGCAAGTCACTTCACCTCTGTGCCTCAGTTTCCCCATGGATAGCTAGTGATGATGATACTGACCTCCTTTGAAAGGTACTTTGAGATAAATAAATGTGATTAGAAATCTAAGAATAGGTGTTTAGATAAAGACTGGGGTAGGGACTGCTGTTTACTATATGTTTGTACAGTGCCTAGGTCCTGATTTGGGTGAGGCCTCAGGCACTGCTGCAATATAAATGTTTGTTAATAATAATAATAGTAATAATGTCAGCGTGTTGAAATCTGTTATTTCTTTCCTTGCAGGAAGAACCCAAAAGGCTGCAGCATACCTTAGAACAAGTTATTGATGACAAATATTTACTTGAAAGGTACGTACGAAAAGATTTTGGAGTGGTTTGCATAGCATTTTCTCATAATACAGTAAAAAATCACTCAAGCAATATTTTTTTAGTATAACGATTAGTGCACTGGACAAGGCTGTTTGAAAGAAGTAACTATAATGTTTCAACATGCTACAACTATTGTCAGGACTGACAATACTGGGAGCAGGCGTTTGAGCTGTACAAAGTAGAATAGCAAAACACAAAAGGGGACATAGCAAAGAGTAATCACTTGCTTTAAATATGCACTCTTATAAGTTTGAGCTGTAAGTATTGCCTTCTGAGGGATGCTTGCAGAGGGTTTGTTTGTTTGGGTTTTTGTGTGTGCACGTTTTATGTTTCACTTGGAGAGATGTGAAGAATTTTTATGGCTTTATATCTCACACCTAAATATTTGCTGATTTTTACTTAAGGGAGGATAACTTCTGAAAACTTCTGCTGGTTAGATGATGTAATTGGTTGCCAAAGTTTCAAAATAAAAATGGATGAACTTGTGGAGTTCATCTTGTGAACTCTCATGCCCAGTGTCCTCACTCATGCAATTAGTCCCATCCCAGCCAATGTCCCCATTGTGTGAGTTCACCTCTGTTCTTGAGATCTTCAGTTTTATCTTCCAGCATTTTTATGGTTTTCTTAACTTTATCACACTTTGCATCATAAATTCCTTTGTCAACTTCTGTTGATAAGAATCTCTCTTCTTATTCTTGCATGACTTTTGCTGCTGTAATTAATTTGGTTTCTAGTATTTCCATTTTACTTGCCAGCTTTTCAAGTATAGCCTCTGGGATGGAAGTTAAATTAGCAGGAATATGTTATACTTGTCACTGGTTTTTAGTTTCTTCATCAGTTTCTTCACCGGGCATATCTGTCTCTGGTGCTGTAGCATCTGAAACTGAAAGTTCTAGTGTTGAAGCTTGAAGTCTGCATGCATCTGGTTGCAGGATAGGGATTGTAATTTGGAATTCAAAAAACTTTTTTGGTTACCCTTCTAAGTCGTGTTGATGATGTTCCCCCCCCCCCCCGGGGCATTTTTAAATAAGTAGCTCTGCTATGTACGTGTCAAAATGTCTGAATGTAGTTTCATAGTGATTATAAAAATGTCAGCTGAAATAGATTAAAACATTTTTTATAGCCATCAGATTGCTATGGATGTGGAGAATAATATCGAAAAATATCCTATCAACTTACAGCCCCTGGAATCAAAAGTGAAAATGTAAGTAATATAAGATGTTTAAATGATTCAGCAATACAGCTGAGACTGTTAAACTTCTGTGGAGCTGAATTTATATAGTGTTTGTCTTGGATTTCTAAGTAGCTTTAAATAGGAAAAAATCTCTGAGGCCTCAGTTTAGCAAGGTAATTAAGCACATGACTAACTTAAGCACATGAGTGGCTCTGCTGAACTGGGGCCTTAATGCTGTACTTGTTACAGTTGTACCCATTTCGTATTTAACCATGTAAAATTGACAGACTATTTCAGAACCTGCCTGATAACTCTATGTAAAGGGAATTTGTACATCCCTAGAGGGAAAGAGAAAACAGAGACAGGGAAGAAGGCCCCTTGTAGCATTTTTGAAACCTTAGAAAACTTAGGTGCTTAAATTTAAGTTGCCTCAAGTAGCCTCACTCAACTTCCAAGATACAATGCAAATTTACTTAAAGAACATTATTCATAACTACATTTCACACTGAATTTCACTTTCTGCTGGAAAGCAAAGCTCAAATGTTTTTAAGATATTAAAATATTAATACAATATTAAAATATTAATGGGACATAAGGTTTCAAATTAAAATCCAGTCAGTGTCATTTAGTGATGCAAATATTGACTAGATTCAATAATATATATATTTTCAGAGAATTTTCTAGAAGATAGTTATGTCTGGAAAATTTAATATCCTCCCTTTATTGAAAATGGAAAATGTGTTACGGATAAGTGCATCTCCATATAAACGTAATGCACTAAACCATAAAACTGATTGACGTGAACAAGATATAAATGTTTCATGGGTGAAGTCACAAGTTTTAAATCATAATTTTTAACTACTTCAATAACACACAGGTTTTGAAGTCTTAGTAGATTCTCTAAACATTTTCCAAATCATTGTATAAAGTCAAAACAAATGTACTTAGGTGTTTACTTCCAAAGTATCTACAGACTCGTGATGCCATAAGGGACACTATTTTTGGCCTAACCCGGACCTGGGTGTCACAAGTTCCCTGGGGTGCAACCTGGACTGTGGGACTGCTGAGCCCTCCAAACCCACCAATGTGGGTGTCCCCCATACTGTGATGCTAATGTCAAGTCACAAGCCTCTGGCAGGCACTGCACTTTCACAGCCATCAATAGGCAGGGACACACCCAACTGAGTTACTCATGAACCATCAATAGGGAGGCTTGAGCCAATTCCCCGACGCTCTCCACCCTTGCACCCATGAACTGCAACATCTTGCACTGGTCAGAAGCCTGGCCAGTATAAGCTCATTTGCCACTCCCTCAGTGTGGAATGAACATACACTAGGCCAGGGGTCTCAAACACACAGCCCGCAGGCTGCATGCTATTTCCTGCAGCCAGCCAAGCAGCCCGTGCCTGCCCGCACCCCCCCCCCCCCCCCCACGGCCTACCTCCGGGCCAGGAGTGGGCATACTAGAGCCTGCAGGCCGGATCCTGCCCTGGCCCCGGTGTGCACTGCTGCCACCCTGAAGCTGCTCTAGGTAAGCGGCACCGGCCGGAGTCCGCACCCTGAGCCCCTCCTGCATCCTGCACCCCAGCCCCCTGCCCTGAGCCCCCTGCCTGCACCCCAACCCCCTGCTGCACCCTGCACCTCAACTCCCTGGGGGGCAGGAAGGGGGTGGAGTTGGGGTGGGGACTTCAGGGAAGGGGTTGGAATGGGGGCAGAGAAGGGGTGGGAAGAGGCAGAGCCTCATGGAAGCTGTGGAGTGGGGGCGGGATTAGGGGCAGTGATGGGGGGGTGTCAGTGATGCGGCCCTCAGGCCAATGCAGTGGCCCTCATGGTCACTTGAGTTTGAGACACCTGCATTAGGCTGTGTGGTCTGAGCTAAGATTCCTCAAGCACTTCACAATTTTAGGTAAAATATAACAGTTTTGTTAACAACAGAAAGATAGATTTTAAGTGATGACTTGCTGACATAGAGATCAGAGTTGGTTACTTAAACTCAATTTATTTTTGTTTCTTAAGTTCTAACTTAAACAGGTTTAGCAAGATTTAAATCAAGCAGTGTCTCATTCTAACAAATGGCACAGGCAGCTTCCGTTTCCTCAATGCACAGACTGGAGCCCTTCCGACCTGGGACCAAGCTTCCCCACTTCAAAGTCTTTTTCTTCCAGATGCTCTTCCAGGTGTTGAGATGAGGGGAGGAGGCCAAGTGATGATGTCACAGTCTCTCTTTTTATGCCTTCTTCCAGCTGCTAAAAAGATCCTTGCTGTGATGCAGGGATCAGTCAGTCCCTGCATCAGTCAGTCCCTTTGGTAAAGCAGCCTCCATTGTGTACATGCCTTCTGTAAGGAGCTTCTGGGAGAATGGATTGTTTTATTGATGGGCCATCAACACCCATCTGACCAGTGATAGGTGCTCCTTTGTCCTTCCTGAAAGGCTGACACTGGGTGTTTCCTAACCTCACAATATATTTCAGTAGTACCGATAGGGCCCTCAGTGGCCAGGTAGCCTAGTGGCTAGATCATTGGTTGGGGGGCTGTAGGGGGACTTGACCCCTCCTTCTCCCTCAGGTCCTGGCCCAGGGTCCTGTATCGCTCAACCTCTAAACAGGGGAGATGGGACTTTCTCCCAGCCGTGAGTGGGGGTTCAGGGTCTGTTTTCCTGGCCTGCTCCCTATGCAAGTCCTTTTTGTTTGGGGCATGGCCCTGCTAGTCCAGTTGCCCCACAGTTGGGGCTTATCTGTGGGCTCCCCTTGGCAGACGAAAATTTACTTGCCTCCAGTGGCTGCACTGGCAGCAGGTTGCTCGTCTGTGCCTTCAGGCAGGCATACCGAGAACTTCTGCCAGGCTCCCTTTTTTTCTTCCTCCAGGCCTGGCATTGGCTGCAGGTATAACAGGGCAGGGCTAGTTGAACCTATAGGTGTTCTTTAACTCCTGCTGTGCCCGGCTGCAGTCTCTCTGCTCCTTCACAAGTACATATAGCAATACTTCGAAACTTCACATACAATAATAACACATGCAATTCAACAGGATGTTAAGGTTCAACAGATCAAGACTTCTTAAATGATACCTCCCAAGGCATGCATTGTATGGAACATATCATATTGTATCACAGTGGTGAATATGGGGTTCTAGGGAGTTACTTTGAAGTACAGTGTGTCACATTGGGACTCTAAGGAAAGTTGCCCATTGACTAAAATGGGCACTTATCAGGATCTAACACCATGGTTAATGCATTATTCAAAATGCCTGTTGTTCTGGGTCACTGCCCCCCATTTGTGACTGCGCCCAGTTACAAATGAGACCAGGAGGATTTCTTTGTTCTAACAAAAATAATGAGCATGTCTTCATTTTTAGAAGACATTTTCTCTTGAAATGAACCATTTCTTTTGCAATTTGGACTCCATTATCTTAAGACTTGCACCTGGAATTAGGTGGTGGAAAGGATTACTGGGGAGTAACGCAGAAGACTAGAGAAAATGATGAATTGATGAGATTGACTTAAGTGTAGAGATGAAAAATAATGTGACCCATGAAAATTGCAACATCCTGGACAATTCAGGGGCAAGGAGAGAATAAACAGAAGACACACTAGGCTTAATATTAATTTGGGTTGGTGTATAAACAGACAAAAATGAATAAATATAGAAGTATGGGAGAATTGCAGATGGAATTTGTAGAACAAGTGGATGGTCAAAAATCTAGAATATAATACTGCATCTTTAAATATTTGCTACTCTGTAAATAAGAAGAATCTGAACCTAAACTCTGGCATTTATGCATTCTTTCTGATGGAAGCATGGTACCATACTGAGCATGTGACACAGCAGTCCATCCAGTGTCTTGGGAAATAATCCAAAGCATGTCAGCAATGATTGTATGGCTTTCTCAGTACTACCACTCATCTCATGTGATACTCCCATGTTTGGCAGCCCTGTCCCTCATGCCTGCTGCTCAGCCTGAATATCATACATTTGGTGGAGCTGAGGGCAAGTGCCGCAGGTCCATCTGCGGCCACGGTGAAGCCAAACTTCAAGTTGTCAGGCTTCATGGCTACCTTTCCCTGGCTGATCTCCCTGCTGCATCCAAGCAGAGAAGGAGGAAGAACAGCCCCAGAGTGGGGAAGAGTGGCCGGTGACTCACTGTGAGGTGCAGAAAGAGAGGAGGTTCTGTACTGGCCCAGGTTCCTCCAAACCCCCAGCCTACTGCCCTAGAGAGACCCCAGACCCTCTGCCTGACTCCAGACCCTTGCCTCCCTGCTAGACCCTGAACACCCGACCATGCCCCAGCCACACCCTCAGAGAGATCACAGCCATCAGACCCTCAGCTACCGGTACAGCACTCTACCTCCCCAACCCCAGCCATCCCAGCCCATTCCCAACAGCACACCCTAATAGTATCCAGCCTTCCAGCTACTCAAGACAACCACCTCCCACCCACCTACCTAACCCAACACCCGGTAGCAACACCCTGCTCTTGGAAAGTTTTTTCCTGGGCTTATTTTAAGCCACAGGATACATTTTCAGCCTCATAACTACATACATGAAATTATAACCTATAACATTACTGTAACAATTACTATAACAGCCATGCTCAGTGCATCATGAGCCTTCTGAAGACACTCAACATGACAAACTTTGCATTGGATACCACACGATCATTTTATAAAAATGAAAATGGGGGTGTAAGGTGTTTCCTCCGAGGTACAAAGTATCACAAGCTCATTAAATTTTCATAAAATATCTCACATGGAGTTGCACAAAGTTTGGTAGTTGTACTATTTGGGTATAGTGAGATGATATCTAATTTTCATTCATGCATTTTTTTCTATACTAGTGCCCACCCCAAAGAGCATGTAAAGGAGGGGAGGTATTTTTTCATGCTTTGTGTGTATAAAAAGATCTTCTACACTTTCCACAGTATGCATCCGATGAAGTGAGCTGTAGCTCACGAAAGCTTATGCTCAAATAAATTGGTTAGTCTCTAAGGTGCCACAAGTACTCCTTTTCTTTTTAAGTATTCACTGGTTTTTTAAAATTGTTTCTAGTTCTCACACCTGTGAATAAATTCTTAAGAATATTAACCCAATGTAAATCAATATTTATATGTCTTCCTGAGTCTGCAGGTAACCTGTAGGTAACAATAGCTGTGGGAGAGGTGAACTGTTGGCATCTTTCTCAAAGGGTTGTTAACTCTGAAACCTAAAGATCAGGGCATGACAGAGAACAAAGACATAGACACGAGAATGAACTTAAACCAGCAGGTGGTCATTTATTAGATTTAACAGTAAGTGGGGGCTGACCAGGCATTAACCGAGTCCTGTGAGAAGTTAAATGGGTTCATGCTATTCAACCAAGGAATTAGGGTTGGTCACCTTAATCATGAGTTTGGCTCAGTGCATTGCTGAATCCCACCACCTTCCCCTTGCAAGTGGGAATGAGGGCAGATGAGGAGAGTTCACAGTCCACCACTACCTCCTATCTTCTACACTCAGGTTTTTCACAGGAGCTGGGCCCCTGAAGCGTATTACTCACACTGGACACGTTCTACCTGTTTTGGACTTTGTTACCTCCACCCTTGCAGGTGATGTCCCTTACCTTTGTCTCCACCTACCACACCTCCAGGATGCTGTGCCAAAAGCAATAATAACAGAACAAAAACCCACCATCCAATACCAATCTTGCTCAGAGGGAAAAATTCCTCCCTGATCCTAAGGAAGGATCAGGGGTTTTCATCAGACCTCCAGCAAGCCTGGAAAGCCAGCTGTGACACACCTATACCTCCTACAGGACAGGGTGGGTGGGGAAGCATCCAGGGGCAAGAATGGGTGCTAGACGCTTGGAATGCTTAAATACAGAGGGGATGGGAGATTTGGTAGAGCCAATCAGCTCCTTCATGCACTGAATTAACCAGTGGGTGACCAGGGGAGGAGACTCCAGCCTCCCCCACCCCTACCCACGCATGATCCTCGCGTGCATTGTGGGCAGGTGGAAAGGAGAAGGAGAGGGAACCTAGGTACTAGACGTCACGCCCTCCCTCTGAACCAGACACCCAGGATGGCCACTCCCCTGCCGAAATAGAAGGGATATTTTAGTAGGCACAAGCAGCTAATGTGCTTATCACACAATCCAGCGTGCCTCCCATGTCCACCTCCTCAGGTCCAAAAATCTTAATTGCCTTTGTACTCAGCACCTAAAGCCCCCAGCCTTCTCCCTGACTTCTCTGTTGCATTTACATGTTGTCAATCAAAAAAAAAAAATCTTTGGTGTACATCAAAAACTGAAAAAGGAGGGGAGCATAAAATAAATTAATGTAATATCAAAATCATCTGGGGGTTATTTTATCGATTGTTTTATTAATTTTCACACCCAATTAAATGAAAACCTCCATTGTTTTAAACCTAAAAGATGTTATAAATAGCCTGTTAGACTAGAACAATAGATAAATAAGGAGCATTACAACAGTTTTTAGTACCGACTTTTTGTGGAGTACGTAGATTATACCTTGAATGCATTCAAATATTTCACATTAAAGCTATTACTATTCTAGATATTTTGATGACTAATATTTCTTACAAATCTGTCTTCCCCCGCCCATAAATGCATAGTTGATATCACACTGCCATCTGGTGACAAGTACAGCAACAGAGATATAATTAGGAATGGGGAATCTGAGTATTTGAAATCATGCTCTAAAAATAAAATTTCACTTAGAAAGCAAAATCTTTTTATTGTTTGTATTTGTTTAGCACCCAAAATCAAGTATACATTACATGGTACTCTCATAAATTACTGAATTTAATATGAGAACTCTATAAACTTGTTTCAAGCTGAAAATTTGGAATGAAAAGCTCCTTGTGTTACTGTGGAAGGAGGAGTCTGCCAGTGTGGTGCCTCTGTTCCCAAGACCAATTCAGCCTTAACTTCTGACTTTAGTTTTTGTTAGTTTGCATCAGAACCTTAGTGTTCTTTTAAGGTGTGTTGTGTATGACTCTGTCCTGCTGGTGTCCTGGCTAGGTAAAATTACAGTGGGATATGTATATGTTGAAAAAAAACAGAGAAATTAGTGCAATGAGAAAATGCCCAGGCTGATCATACAAATTATCTGGTAGAAATGGACTATAACTCATAGTCACATAGGGTCATATTTTTCCTTTTCTGCACAAAAGCTATGGGAAGTTACATGTTGTAAGAATCACAGAGCCATAGCATGTTCCAGGAGTGCCCTGGCGTGCCCCCAATATGCTCCCTCCATGGAAGGGGTGGCATAGAGCTCTAGTTCAGTGACAGCTGAAAATGCCCCATTCCAGATGACTCCTCAGTTGCTTATTTAAGACAATCTTAAGTCCCCTTTGTCCTTCTACAGCAGCACAAAGTGGATTCGGTATGGGCCAGGATCTGGCCTCTGATATTCTAATTGTGTCTGTATCATAAGCTGGCAGCAAGATTGACAAATGAGCTTCTGAAGCCCATCTTTTCTCTGATGAGACAGATGTTTACTTATTACAACCTATTTAAGATGTTTTAGAATTGTTGATGTAATTATAGTCTTCAAGGAGTTAATCACTTTTGCAATTCCAAGAATTCCTAAGCAATTCTTGTTTCCAGTTACACTTTTAAAGTGCATAAATATTTCTCGTCTATCGAATATCTTTGTTAGAATTGAGTGACTAATGCAAATGCTCTATATTGAATAGTTGTTTGGGTCAACCATGTTAGTATCTTTTTATTGTTTGCTTCTCTGTGGGCATATTTCTGAATGCTTTTTGGGGTTGTAAGTGGCTGTTCTGAGTGTGAATACTTGAACTTCCATGTGAACAAGTGTGTTGTATATGAATATGAGTATCCACTATTCACACCAGGAATGTTTCCTCTCTGTTTATAAAGTTTGAGATAGCCAATGAAGGAGCAGAAACCATTTGACTTAGGTAGCCAATAGCACACCACAAACAACAGACATAGTGGGTAATATAAGAACCCTCTATGGATTGTTATCTGTTCTCATAATATATGTTGAAAAATTATAAATAATATTAGTAAAAGCTTATCTGTTCACAAGTAAGTCACAAAGCAAAAAAGCACTAAATAAGTTGGATACCTTTTTGCTAATACAATGCATGTAGCTTTTCCCCCCAGAGAAAGTCTCCTCGAACTTTACGAAGTTGTGCTGGATGGAGAACCTGTTGTTTATACATATTCACTTGTATTTTGAATTACAATCAGTATTCAGCAAGCATGGCGCAAATATCTACAGCGTCAGGATTTGCCGCGCCAGGACCACTTGGAGAAGCGCAGTCCATCACCACCTTCCTTGTCATCTGACAAGATGAGCAGTTCGATCAGCATGAACACTTTTTCCGTTGGCAGCACTCCTGTAAGTACAGTTTCTCTCTACAACTACTTCTTTGCTGGTTTCACCAGTAGGCACTGATATAAATGAACTAGTCAAGTCCGGTGGGGGGAATTTAGGATTAAGCTTTTGACTAATTAATTACAAAGTAAAAACTTTTCATGGTTTCTCAAACATGCATTAAGGCAAAAGTGTTTAAACAAGTAAGATTGCAACTGTGCATCAGACCATTTTTCCCAGAGCCACATGGAACAACATTGATTGCTAAGCATTTTAGGTGATGATAGCAGCCGCTGGAGGACAGATTTTCATTGATATTTTGTTCTCCTGAAAAAAGTATGGATCCTTAGTTAAGTATATCCTCAGAGTTTTGTGTTTGTGTTCTCCAGGAAAAGGTGGGGAACCTTGGTGCTGTTCTGCAATATAAATGTGATTCCTATGCTGCTCTCTAAAAGAGAGGTATATAAGCCAATTTAATGATCATAAATTATAACTAGCTTTGGAAGGAATATTTGTGCCTCTTCAGGGGAGATTTTTACACACTTTTCTAAAATGTGGTAAATTAGAGAACCAAATGCAATATCTATACTCAGGAACATTATGAAGATTGTGACCATCTCTGGAACTCTTTGGGTCTAAAAATAAATGAATTGATCATACTGATCTATAACCTGTTTCAAATCTGTGACCGATTACATTGATTTTGATATAACTTAACTGATTCAGAGTGAAAACACAAAAAATACAAATAGCTTCCAAAAACATGTAGGAGATTGTAACCTATCATGGCATGCCAGGCCTTTCAAATAGATCAAGGCAGGGGGCATTCTAGCTTTTGGCTGTAGCATTGTCTCCTAAACAGTGGAAAGTATATATTGGTCAGGTACATTGTATATTGCTTATTGGGTCATAGGGACAGTAATTGGTGACCTCAAAATTCACTAACAGACTGGAAAACCTGTTCTTGCATATCACAAGTAGATGGAAGATACTTAGCCATACTTATATGTGAATTTGATACTTGTCAGTTTAACCATGACTCGATTTGGTAAAAATTTAAGTCTGGAAATCAATTTTCATTCAGGAATCCAACACTCTAAAAATCAAGCAACAGAATTTCGTATAATCTGCTACCTTTTGCACAGAAACAACAAAATCCTATAGTATTAAGCACACAGCTCTTCTGAAGGGCCCTTTTTAGCCCATCAACTACATTATCCAGATAAACTTAAACTAAATAAACTGTTTCCCCTAGCCATTGTCTTCTGTGACACCATAGTGGGTTAGGCCATATTAAACTTGAAAGTGTTCAATAAAATATTACTGTTTTATTTTTAGATGTTTTCTGTTCATACCTAGAGGCCACTTTCTTAGTATGAACCGATACTGCAATATTGAGTTCTGAATGTAATATAATATGCACTAAATGGGTTATTATCCTCTAATAGATAAAACAAATGTAGATCTAGTTTGTGAGACACTAGAATGTCACTGGATATTTTAAATAGCCATTTCTTGATCATGCTTTATATTTGCTGAAATACCACAAGATGGCTCTCTCCTCCCGCTCAGGAACATTTTTTGTGGTTTAAGGGCTTGGGTGATTTCAAAGATAATTCATTTTGCAGTGGGGGTGGAAGGAGGTAACTTAATCTGGAAAACTACTTGTATTGCTTTCACTTCTTCCAACAAAATTAGTATATTTTGAGTTTTATTATTTTATGTGGAAAATAAAGCATGGACACTAGGGTTGCTTTTGGGATTTTTTTTTTTTTTTTAAAGAAATGCTCACTTCAGGAATTCCAGTCCTCAGTAAACTTGCCAAAGTTAGAATAAAGAAAGAGGAAGTCATTTTCCTTGACTTTTGATAATGCTAAGACTCTTCTATTGTCTCCCTTTAAAAAAAGCAGAATCTGTTTTTTGAAGGTGAAGGACTAGCTGTCTATCTTAGCTACAGTACTTGTCAGGACCCAATTACCAAAGCATTTGAGCATAGAATCATAGAATATAAGGGTTGGAAGGGACCCCAGAAGGTCATCTAGTCCAACCCCCTGCTCGAAGCAGGACCAATTCCCAGTTAAATCATCCCAGCCAGGGCTTTGTCAAGCCTGACCTTAAAAACCTCTAAGGAAGGAGATTCTACCACCTCCCTAGGTAACGCATTCCAGTGTTTCACCACCCTCTTAGTGAAAAAGTTTTTCCTAATATCCAATCTAAACCTCCCCCACTGCAACTTGAGACCATTACTCCTCGTTCTGTCATCTGCTACCATTGAGAACAGTCTAGAGCCATCCTCTTTGGAACCCCCTTTCAGGTAGTTGAAAGCAGCTATCAAATCCCCCCTCATTCTTCTCTTCTGCAGGCTAAACAATCCCAGCTCCCTCAGCCTCTCCTCATAACTCATGTGTTCCAGACCCTTAATCATTTTTGTTGCCCTTCGCTGGACTCTCTCCAATTTATCCACATCCTTCTTGAAGTGTGGGGCCCAAAACTGGACACAGTACTCCAGATGAGGCCTCACCAATGTCGAATAGAGGGGAACGATCACGTCCCTCGATCTGCTCGCTATGCCCCTACTTATACATCCCAAAATGCCATTGGCCTTCTTGGCAACAAGGGCACACTGCTGACTCATATCCAGCTTCTCGTCCACTGTCACCCCTAGGTCCTTTTCCGCAGAACTGCTGCCTAGCCATTCGGTCCCTAGTCTGTAGCTGTGCATTGGGTTCTTCCGTCCTAAGTGCAGGACCCTGCACTTATCCTTATTGAACCTCATCAGATTTCTTTTGGCCCAATCCTCCAATTTGTCTAGGTCCTTCTGTATCCTATCCCTCCCCTCCAGCGTATCTACCACTCCTCCCAGTTTAGTATCATCCGCAAATTTGCTGAGAGTGCAATCCACACCATCCTCCAGATCATTTATGAAGATATTGAACAAAACTGGCCCCAGGACTGACCCTTGGGGCACTCCACTTGATACCGGCTGCCAACTAGACATGGAGCCATTGATAACTACCCGTTGAGCCCGACAATCTAGCCAGCTTTCTACCCACCTTATAGTGCATTCTTCAATCTTTTAATATAGTTATCCTATGAGGTAATAAAATGCTGTTAAAGAAACTGTCAAGGAAAGGGGAAGTTCCAGGCTGAGAGCAGTCACTATATTTTAAAACATATTAATTTATTTTTTACTTCCCCCTTTCTCATCTTACCTATTTCCCTTTTTTGCACCCCCTGTTGAAAATCAGACATGAAAGAAAGCAGAAAAGAAACATACAAAGGACTGAAAAATATGGAGGGTAACAGTCTGATGAAAAGGCTACCTAAGTGGGGGGGGAGGGGGAGGGGAACCCAAACAAAGAAGCCCCACACACACACAACTGGTCAGAACCTGAGATGTGCATTTGAGATGGATTGGCCAGGCATTGCCCCATATACACAGTACATATTGCAAAGTGATATATCCAAAATGTGCATAAACTGAGTCAGGATGACTAACACTGTTTGAACCTCAAGTTCAGATAGTAATTGGAATTTATAATTTGAATTCTCTGAATTCATCAAATGTGATACTTCCTTCTTTTGGTCATAGTTAGAACCAGGAATACAGAAACATAAAGCAATAATTAAAAATAATCATTAAGAAGTTATGGGAATTTTGGGGCAAAATGATCAGATTAATTTCTTCCTCTAAACCAGCTGCCTCAATCCTAATTTACTGGGTTGAAATTCTCTTCAGTCAATCATATCACAATTTTCATTTCTAGTGGGTTTTTATAAGGTGGGGTTTTTTTAAAGGCTATTTGATTTCATAAACTTAGGAAAGCCAGTAAAATCGAATTTCCCTGAGGGCAGTATGATGTGCCTGACACGTAATCAATCATTTGATCACTACTTATTGATCTATGGTGATGTGAACCCTCCTTAACTTGATTCTGATCGTGCACTATTCATATGTATAGGGCTTCAGCGAGCTGTGGCTTAGACTAGTTTGCTGCAGATAACCATATTACATTTTGTCTTTGAACTGAATCTGTGTCACTCTGAATCTCAGCAGCTTGACAAACCGTTGATTAAAATGCCTTTAATTCTATGCAATGGTACTTGTTTTAGACCAGCTACCTGCATTCATGTATTCAAAAAACTCTTGTTTTTAAAGTGAAGCACTGACGTGAAACTCATGCTATAGAAAGGGAGCTATTAGACAGAGAAGGAAACTCACAATCTTTGAAGAGTTAGAAACATAACTTTATTATCACTGCTCTTCCCAGTACAAGTGTTTATTTCTTTGTTTGAGAAAAATGTACATAAAAACTGTATGTGTGTTGACTGCATCCTCCAGCCCTCATACCTAGCATGTTGTCTTCAACTACATTATTTAAGATAGTATCCACAGTGGGCAGTGAGCTGGCTATACATGCAGAAGACACTGTGTCCCCGATGTTAAACAAATAATACTCTTCCTCCTCACTAAGCCAGTCAGCAGGCTTTGTTTATAGGGCCTTTTGCCACTGGAGCCAGGGCTACTTGTCTCAATGGCATTTCAATACCATTGCCTCCAGGTGTGCCCGCTCCTCCTTTTGGCTGGCTTATAAGAAGCAGATAGTGCTAAGGGCCCCCATTTATTTTTTTGGACTGCTGCCATGTTTGTCCTCATTTCTTCTGGCACCAGGGCTGGTTAGAATGACAATTAATGAAAGTAAAGGCTTACCTCTAGGGTTTAAGAGTTTTAGTCACAAGTAACTTTAGTTAAAATGTAAAGATTATAGGTAGTCAGAAATCCAACTTTTCTGAACTTCTTATAATTAAAGACTGCACATTTTAATGAAATTGTGTATGCAATGTATTTCAAACTTTGCAGGTTATTTACTCCTTCATACAAAACATATGTGAATGGTGCACATGCATTATGAAGAGAGGATATTAATATTTTCTGGCACTCAATGATTGTGAAATTACAAACTAACTAACTTTTAGTTCTTGGATCTATGCAACAGATATAGTGTGAATGATTTATGAGGCTT